ACAAACTTCTTGATGATACTACCACCTTTTAAACAAACTTCTTGAATCTTAATTATTTGGTTTTTTTAGCAAAAAAAAAATTATTTGGTTTTTCTGTAGGATATAGAAGAGTATAGCATCATCCACCAATACCACATGGACTCACTCGTTGGAGATTTTCCACAGCATCTCTCATCTCTTGATGGTACTACCGCTTGTTTCAACTTTGATGCTTCTTGTAATGATGACTTGCTCGAAGAGAATCCTTCAAAGATCCTCAAGACCATTCACATATCACCAAAGTTACATCCTTTTTCATCTTCCAGTCCTCCTCCTCCAAAGCATCAACCATCTTCTGGGATTCTCTCTTTCGGAAAGAAGGGTTTAAAAGTTATGAAATACAACTCTCCAAACATAATATTTAGCACCAAGGAAGAAGTTGGATCACCAGAGCTGCTAACAAGAGGGACGAAGAGGGCTCAACCCTTGACTCGAAGCCAATCAAATGCCCAAGATCACATCATCGCCGAGAGAAAACGTAGAGAGAAGCTTACTCAGAGATTTGTAGCTCTTTCCGCCCTAGTTCCTGGCCTAAAGAAGGTACTTCTTTTTCTTTGTTTGAATTTTTTGTTTTTTTTTTAGTCTTTTTACATATATGCACAGATGGTTTTTTTTTTGTTAATACAAATCATTTGCCGTTTCAGCTCGATGGATATCTATTTTATTGGATCTTTACATGTTTACATGCGATTGACATATATGTGCATACATGTTTGTAGATGGACAAAGCTTCTGTGTTAGGAGATGCAGTCAAGCATATAAAGTACCTTGAAGAGAGTGTGAAAGACTATGAAGAACAAAAGAAAGAAAGAACAATGGAATCAATGGTTCTTGTGAAGAAGTCTCAGCTTGTTTTGGATGATAATAATCAATCATTAGTATTTTCCTCGGATGGAAATCAGGACTACGCGGGCTCAAATCTTCCAGAGATCGAAGTTAGGGTTTCGGGAAAAGATTTTCTTATTAAGATCCTATGCGAGAAGCAAAAGGGTCATGTAATCAAGATTATGGGTGATATTGAGAAGCTTGGTTTGTCTATCACCAATAGCAGCGTCTTGCCCTTTGGACCCACTTTTGACATCTCTATTATTGCTCAGGTGACTATATATGTTCTCATACAAACTATCAAAACTTTTATTAGTTATATATGTTTTGGAGGATATATGATCTTGTTGGTCGAAACCATGAATCGATTCTATAGATCCTGTATGATTTGAGACTGTGACATAGATTAGAGTTGATTTTTTATTGTGGTGGAAGCATATTTCAGAATAAGAATGACTTTCGATTTTTCATTACCCGAAAACCTAATTCATATTTTGGATTCATTTGCAGAAGAAGAGCGACTTTGTTATGAAAGTTGAGGATGTTGTGAAAAGCTTGAGTTGTGGTTTATCATAGTTCATCTGATTGGTTTCACCATACATATATATATACATTCATCATCGATGTCATGGACCGAAGAATCCAAAAGAGTTTAGCAAAAAAGAAAAGAATCCAAAAAAGTTTTTTTTTTTCCATGAAAATGGTTTTTTAGTTGATAACTTGGTTGTATGGCGGTTCCTAAGTCATTTTCGGAACCTTGTTCTTGTTGTTTTAAGTGTGCTTAAAACAAATAATTGTAGAACCTTGTTCTTGTTGTTGTAGACGATTTTTTTTTTTCGCAGCTACTTGATTGTTTCTTGCGATGTAATTTCGTCATGTTTTTTCCTTTGATAAATTTGATCAGTTTTACCCTCAATTGGAACAAATTTAGTCAGTACGATATTTATATCATAACTGCTGTTAAAATGGTTCAGTAATTTTCGATAAAACTAGACTATATTTTTGTTCATATCCATCATCTGATTAAATTTTTGTTTTTTTAGGTTTTCAGCAAAAGACACATTTATTGTACCAAAGCATTTGATTGAATAAATTTAAGGGAAATTGGCAATAATAACAATCAAAAAAATTATAATTTGAAGGATAACCATATAGACTTGATGGCTAGGATACAAGGCATAGTTTGTGTATTAATGGCCAAAATCTATCTGTCTAATTTAACCGTGTTAGGAGAGAGACACAAGAGCTTAGTAAACTATAATACATTCTCTTTCTCCTTTGGTTTTTTTTATTTTACTCTCCTCTCATCTTTTTTACTTCAAATCACTTCTAAAAAAACTAATTCAAATTTGTAATATTTCAAAAAATATAGATTTTTTTCCGCACATAACATATGTTGAATTTTTTAAATCAACCAATATATGTGTAAATACAATTAAGTTGTTCTATACTATTTATATCTTTAGATAGTATAGTATAGAACAATCTTAGTAATTAGAACATTATTCACTATTTAAAAAAATATTTTGTTTCAAAATTATCAAATATGTCGAACGTGAAAATTATGTTTTTTTCTTAAGTACGAACATGAGATGCAAAAGATTAAATTAAAAATAAATTATGAGAAAGTATATTATTTTGTTCTATATTAAATAATACAAAATAGTGTAGAAACAAAAGAATTGTGCCTATTGCCTACATCGTTTTGGGGCAGACCAAAGGAGGTTACTTTAGGTAGTATACTTTCCACTTGGTTACTTTCTTAAATCTTTAATTATGATGGCTATTTTCTTAATTCTGTAGCTCAATATGAATATTGGGCTAATTCACCCTAAATTTAACATTAATTCCCAAAAAAAAAAAAACTAGACTACAACCTAGCTATAAGCAATCCTATCGTGATGTTGTAATGTATTAATTAAAAATAGTCAAAATCAACGTTTGACAACGAGGTGCAAAATTTAAAACTTTTTTTTTTGCTCAATAATTAGAAACTTTCAGTTGGCTATATTAAAAGTTATAAAGTAGACAACTTAAAGCAAAGCTTCGAAGGAGTGTTTGAGGATCCTTTGATTTTTTTGCCATAATAATTTTGATTTCTTCGCAGAAAGAAGCAAAAACCAAGTGAAATAAATGTGAAAACGTATACATCTATCTAGAAATCTTAAATTTTAAGCACTTCTTAATTAAATTTTAGTTTGAAATATAAGAAAATTCACTCATTTCAGAATGTGTATACATAGCTATTTAGAACATATTGAAATTAAATCCAAGCAAAAATTATTACCATCCTTTAGC